CTACCTCCATCTTCATGCACACTGCTTTATTCATCAGGGCAGCCGCCAAAGTCGCTGCCTCCATCTAGGCTGAGCAAACCCCTCTCAGAAGGTTGGCCTCCGTCAACTGCGCCATTGACCACACGGTCGCATCCTTCATCACTCTAACAAGTTGATCGGTTGCTACCTTGGCCTCCTGCCCTTGTTCTGCAGAGCGACCTGCCAACACGCCCGCATGGTACATGGCGGTCTTCAGCGCGACGCTTGTCTCTGGTTTGTTACTTCCAGTCTTCCCTTCACCAGGACTGGGAGATACTTCTCCTACAGGGCCCACCGTTGCCTCCGCCTGGACACTTGGGCCCACTTCTTCTTTCAGCACTTGGGCGCTTGGACCCATGTCTTCTTTTGGCACTTGGGCTCTTGGGCCCATGCCTTCCTTCACCACTTGGGCAGTTTCCCTTCCTAGCGCCTCCTCCGCACTCCACTCTTTCATCTTCTTTAAAGCAGGGGCGTCCTTACTACCCTCTGTCGCCGCCTTCTTTTTCTTCCATTTCTTTAGCACTGCCTCCACCTCCTGTTTGCCCCTCTCCTTCAGCTGGTCTACTAGAGGCGGCAGTGGAGCAAAGTCAGTCAGGTCTTTGTCCCCCAACGGTTTGGGATGCGGTCGGACCCACTCTCTCATCACCAGTTTAGGCGCAGGCCCCAATTGTCTCTCCTTATACTTGTACGCTTTGGCGAACGCTCTCCTCTCTTCCGCATTCTTCTGCGCCTCCAGCTCCTCTCCCAAATCATCCTCCGTCGGCTGCGGCCCCAGGCTCAGGGTAAATAGGGTTGAAGGAAGGATCAAGTTATCCGACCTCACCCCCTCCTTCTTTCTCTACGTTTTCACCCTGTTCTCAGCCTCCACGTCTAGCCTTGGCTCCACCGATTTTGTGGGGACTTTCCATGTGGTGCGAACTTCTCTCCCACCGTTCGTTGATACATAAAACCATCTCAGCTGCCACCCCTTCATCGAAGATGACAAGCCTGCCACTAGACCCCGACCAGTTACCGCTTGCAAGGTCATCCACGTCTCTTGTTGACCGAAGGCCTTGTAGCAGGAGAAGAACTCCTCTACTGTCATCGCCGCTCCTCCGGTCGCCTGCGGCCAGGCGATCGCACAAGCCATTAGTATTTTCCAGGCGTTCGACATCAACTGCCCTGGCACCACCTCCAACTTGTTAAGTACGTCCACCACTATTTGGGGGAATGGTAGCCTCAGCCCCCCCTCAGTGCCTCCTCATACAACGTGAATTCTGACGGCCGTGCATCCGACGCCCTCTTCTTTGATGTGGGCAGCCTCAGCTCTACCTCCGCCGAAATTTGGTACTTTCTTCATACCTCCTCCAACTCCTTCGCCGTAAATGTAGACTTGTCAGCCTTAGTGTGCCAGTGGTCCAGCTTCACTTGGCTAATTAGCCTAGCGGCTATGATCATCATCGCCAGGCGAGCCTGCACCGCTTGCCTGTCTCCCCTTCCCTCTCTTCACTTTGCTTGGTACTGTTCCACCAACTCCACTGCGTCGTCGTCTCCCAATAAGTCTAGCCTTACGACTGGCACTTCATCTCGAGCCATTCCTCCTACGTGGCTGCGTATCGCTTCAGACGCTGGTATAAGGAAGTTCGCAAAGTGTTGCAGAGGCATGTCACACGAAACAAATGAGTTCACCTCTGGGATGTGTTTGTTTTTTGCGATAAGTTAAGTAAAACGAATAACTCAAAATGTCCACGGTTTGCCTATATTCCAAGGGTCGAGATTAAATTTCGCCAGTTTGAAAATTTTTGAAAACTTCCGCTCCCGCCTTTTCAACGCCCTATATTAGCCTATCCCTTCGCTTCCTGCTAATGCATTACCTCCCTTATTACAGGATTATGCCATGTGTACGACCATGATCCACTACTCTCTTCTCCTTCCCTGTCTACTCCACTTCACATCACCACGTGCCCCGATGCCTTTCGAGCCCCGTGCGTCGCCATTTCCTCTTTTCACTCGGTCACCCTTCGCAGTCGGCCCTCCTACCAGTCGGCCTTTTCACTCGGTCACCTTTCGCAGTCGACCCTCCTCCCTGTTGGTCTTCTCACTCGGTCACCCTTTACGGTCGGTCCTCCTCCCAGTCGGTTTTCTCACTCGGTCACCCTTCACGGTCGGCCTTCCTCCCAGTCAGTCTTCTCACTCAGTCACCCTTCGCGGTCGACCCTCCTCCCCATCGGACTTCTCTCACTCGACCACCCATAAATCCCGTCTTCTTCCTTATTCCCTTCGTTGGACTAAAGCTGCACTTGGGAATGGGAGACTATTGACATGGCTAAGCCCATAAGGAGTTTTGGCCCACCACTTAGAGCCCAATGCACGATTCAAACACTAGAGCCCAACATTACTGGAACCCAACGTTGCACCAAGAACCAATGGCATCTAAACACTTGTCAAGAGAATAACCAGCCACGTAAGCAGACAAAGATCCTGCAGAGTTATTACACCATACATCAGCCATTAATGAGGTTCCCTGCAGCATTTAATACGATAACCCCTTCACGTCAGAACAGAATAGCCTCACCATAAATAAGGCAAGCTAGAACATAGACTTTCGGACAAGATGACAAGTCGGAGTGGACAAGGAAATGATGAACAAAGGATATAAGTAGGTTTATAAGACAAAAAGCAGGTTAAGTTCTTTATCATCATCCTATCTCTACATTCCATTAATCTCTCTTTTCTAACTTGCTCGTTTGAGGGTTCGCTGGGGGACTCCCGTTCCCCGTTGAACTCTTGTGCAGGTTTCTCAGTGGGCCCAGCGATCGAACAACGGTGTGGGAGGCGTGGATTAGCCCGACCCGTTCCTCAGGGACAAGTAGTATCATCACTTTCAATAATTCACCTAATTCAAACTTTTCAAATCACAAACAATTTTTTTTAACATACTGATTCTTTTAATACAAAAAATTAAAATTAAAAATAATATATGAATTTTACATATCAAGAAAAATATTTAGAAAATAAAATGTATAAACTAAATGTAATTTGAGTGTGACTCACTTCCTCCCAACTTTAAATCTATACATATAAATTTTAGGTGAAGGTATTTAAAATTTAAAAGATTGTGAGTAAGTTGTGGGATGGGTGAGTTAGGTATTCAAGAATTGGTGGATGGTATTCAAAGTATGTGAATTTTTTTTTTTTTTGACCGAAAAATATGTGAATTTAATTTAAGTGTCCAAATTGCGAAAGAGTATTAGTGTTGTAGCCCTACAATGATAGATGTTTTGCTTTAAAATGAAAAGATTATAAAATAACATATCATTTTATTTGAATTTTTTTGGATAAAAAATATGTTTAAATAGCATTACGTTAATAAAAATAAAATGATACCGCACAGGTCTATACTTTAAGGGAAATTATTTATTACATTTGGGGCACGGTCAAGTGGTGTCATGGAATTGCGATGCTTGCAAAATTAATACAAATATAGTACTATTATTTATTATGAGTAATTATTCGGTAATTTTAGAATATGGATACGTGATATTCTATAGTATTATGATTGGTGAAGAATGTGGATAAGTGGGGTATTGTATTGGGTGATTGGGGAATATGAGAGAGGATAGTAAATGATAATTAGTTAGAGAGTACAGCCATATAGGGATGCAACTTGAGCAGACTCAACTCGAGTAACCCGAATCCAGCTCGAATTTTTTTAGGGCTTAGACAAGATATTTTTAAATTCAGTATGAGCTTGGGCAAAAATTCAAAAATCCGAATTAAATTTGGACGAATTTGGGCAAAAATGTCAAATAACCTGAGCAACCTGAATCATACATATATAGATATATAAAAATATTAAATATACATATAAATTATTAGTCATTACATGATATTAAAGTAATTTAGATTATTAAATCATATTAAATGTATATTAGTATACATACAAATAACATAAAATCTTACTTTTTCTATTTTCACTCATAAATTGTAAGAACTACTATAGTAACATCTCTCTTACATTATATAAATTATTTGTTTTCTATAATAAAAAAAATGTAAATAGAGCCAAATTTTAATAATTTAATAATGTAGCTGCAAAAAAAAAAAATTTGAAATTCATTTGTAATTCGGGCAATTTGGGTTTAACTCGGATCGGATTTGGACATGCAACCTCGGGTTACAATTCGAGCCTGAAAGGGCCTGGACAGGTCTTAGCACAACTTGAATTGGGCTTGGACAACGTCTCAACCCAACCGAACCTGCCCGAGTTGCACTCCTATAGCCATGTGATATTCCGAGAATATTAAATAATTTCCCCTTATTTAGTGTGTTAAACACCTAAAATATGGGGATTTAGATCCCACACTACAACAAATTAAGGTTTTAGAAACTAAATTTAGGGATAAAATTAATTTTTAAGGGCCAAATAATTTTATTTTAAAAAGTGTCGTCATTATATTTTTAGCAACACAAATTAAATATTAGTGATGAATTATTATCCTTTTGGGACCAAATTTTTTGTCTCAAAAAATAAATCATTTTGAGACCAAATTATTTTGTCTCTAAAAGTCTATTTATTAGTGATATTTTCAAAATTTTATCGCTAAAAATCTTATTTTTGACTTTTTGAGACGACTTTTTAGTAACTATCTTCATAACAATGGAAATTAGTCTATAAATATCTTTTGTAATAAAATTTTCCCTTTTAAAAATCAATATATTTAGTCTTTAAAACTCTTAAATGTTGTAATTTCGTTTAACACCTTCTTTATCAAACAGTTGATACACCAGGTAATAATGATTGGCTAACTCTGATAGTTGAATAAAAATAAACTTAGATGATGCCAAAATAAAAAAAGAAAAGTGTTAGGGAGAATCATCTTCCGAAACATAAAAACCACTGTTTCTTTTTTTTTTTTGATTCAAAGGAAGTTCAGAAAGACAGAAAGGAAAGAACAAGAACAGATACATCAGCTAAACTAAGAACTAGTCTCTTAGGACACTAACTCCAGTCATATCTGCTATGACCAGATTCTTCACCTCTTCAGGAGGGTCCTCCAGCAGCACTACATGTTCACCTTGCTCCACACCTAGGCTTGCAAGCTTATCAGCACATCTGTTGCCCTCCCTTAGTGTATGTCGCAGGAGGCAATCGCATCTTTTCAGCTGGAATCTTGCATCTTCAATCAGAGCTTTGTATGGAGAATTGGTATTGGGACCGTTCTGTATTTGGTCAATTGCCAGTTCAGAGTCAGATTCGATTTCTACTCCTTTTGTGCCTTTTTGAAATAGAATGGTGAGGCCTCGATATATTGCCCACAACTTAGCTTCAAGACTTGAACAATGGCCCAACTTTCCATAGAAGCCCCAGATCCATATGCCAGTTTCGTCCCGCAACAGCCCACCATAACCAGCTTGTCCCGGATCCCCTTTAGAGCAGCCATCAACATTCAGTTTAAGCTTACCTGCAAGGGGATGAAGCCAATGTATTAGTCGAGGCTGATAAGGCCTAGGGTGGAGGCTTGACTGGTAAGCTTCCTTAATCTCATGAGCATAATTTCTTATGCACTTGAGGCTGACTTGAATGAAGGGAGTTAGATTCTCAAACACAGTTTTATTTCGGTCTGTCCAGATTTGCCAAAGGATAGAAATAAATACAGTTTGCCATTTTGTTCCAAAAAACTCACTGGTGTTTTTTAAATTAAAGGTAATCCATTCAAGTAGAGGTCTACCACAGCCATCCTCCCACCAGGTGATATTTTTAATTTCGGTCCAAATATTTTTGGATGTGATGCACTCTCTGAGGAGGTGGTTCAGATCTTCACTAGTTAAACCACAACGAGGGCATATCGCAGATGTGGTCATGTTCCTCATAAGCCTCATGTGGTTAGTAAGCAATCTCCCCTTAAGAATGAGCCAGATAAAACATTTTAATTTCTGAGGGACCCTGATTTTCCAAAGCCATTTCCAATCACCGCTATCCCTATCCTGTCCTGCAATGATCTTATACGCAGAGGAAGTAGTGAAGTTGCCACTGTTGGAGCCAACCCAAACAGGTGCATCTGTGTAAGTGACGAAACTGGGCCTGTGAAGTGTGAGTATGTTTTGGACATCTTGAGGGGTTAACAGATTATTCAAGGCAGCAATGTCCCAATTGCCTTCATCGTCAAGGACAGAGCTAACTTTTTGGAGACCATTATCTTGTTGGGAAATGTAACTGGTAGCTAATGGTTGATTACCGCACCACCAGTCACACCACAAGGATATGTTCTCACCATTACCCACATTCCATTTGACTCCCCTTTTCAAATAATCTCTATTTTTACATATGCTCTTCCAAACATGAGAAGATCTCTTTTGGAGAGGCCAATTAAAAAAGGTATTCTTCTGCAAATACTTGGAGTGAAGCACTTTACACCATAATTTGTTCGTATCACACAGCATGTTCCACCCAAGTTTAGTCAATAATGCAGCATTGTGATCTCTAGCTTTTCTAATTCCCAGCCCCCCGTCCGCCTTGCTTCTACAGACACTGTCCCAACTAACAAGATGGACTTTCTTATGGTGCTCAGTCTCCCCCCATAAAAAGTTCCTATTAAGTCTGTCTATATCGTCACAAAGCCTCATTGGGAGTTCCATGGTCTGCATGTTATAGCTAGGAATAGCCGAAGTCACAGACTGGATAAGGGTGGTTCGCCCAGCAAGGAAGAGATTTCTAGCCTTCCAACCTGACAGCCTCAGTTTTAACTTCTCCATGGTATCTTTAAATAAGGTTCGATTGACTCTACCATGGAGCATTGGGGAACCTAGGTATTTCCCAAGGTTTTGAGTTAAAGGAATTCCACATTGGGAGCTTAGAGATGATGCTATGTTACGAGACAGGTTGGGTGAAATAAGCAACTTAGACTTAAGATAATTGACTTTATGTCCGGATATATCACAAAATTCAGAGATAACTCCCACGATAACTTCATAGTTAGATTGGTCCGCTGTGGCAAATAAGATAAGATCATCAGCAAAGAAAAGGTGTGAGATGGGAGGGCTGTTGCGACCTGCTTTAATACCTTGCCACTGACCACTATTCACCTTAGAATTGATCATATTAGACAACCTTTCCATGCAAAGCACAAAGAGATAAGGAGAGAGAGGGTCCCCTTGTCGCAGCCCTCTCTCATTCTTGATCCCTTCAAGAATCTCCCCATTCCATAGGACAACAGATTTGGTGTTAGTGACACAACTCATGATAAGGTGTATCCAATTTTCATTCATATTAAACTCAATGAGTGTATCCCTAATGAACTCCCAGGACAAGCGGTCATAAGCCTTCTCCAAATCTATTTTGAAAATCATGCCTCCCCTCCTACCTTTTTTATGTCTAAGAGTATGAAGAATCTCCTGAGTAATGATGATGTTATCAGTTGTATTTCTCCCAGGAATAAAACTACATTGATTATGGCTCACGAAACTATCCAGAAGTGGTCTAAGTCTTCCCACAATGATTTTGGAAATGATTTTATAAGTGACATTACAGAGACTGATGGGCCTAAATTGCTTATTCTCAGGATTGTCAATCTTAGGAATAAAGACGATAATAGTCTCATTAATCTGGTCAGGGACAGATTTGTTATGAAAGCAAAGGTTGATGAAATCACAAACAGACTTACCAACAAGGTTCAATTTTTTTTTGCACCATCTTCATTCTAATAAACCAAACACTATCTTGGGGATGGAAATTTGTGCGACTCTTAGCCCTGGTTTGGCTATCATTTTGGGGTTCAAAAAGCACAAAATAACAAAATAAGCTAAATAAGTTAATAAGACAAAATATCACATCCAATTCATAATAATTACATTTTTTCTCTTACAAAAGTCAAAAAAACTAAAAAATCTAAACCAAACGAGACTAAAAAAGTCTCAACACAAGATCGATATTTCCCGTTCCATACAAATTTTTTTTATCCCGATAATAAAACAGGGAAGAAACGAGATTTGCTTTCTCCATCCTATTTTTCAGTTCTATCTCAATTATATTAACTAAATATTTTTTTGTATTTATATAAAAATTTATATTGTTAGTATAATAAGATAAAATATTAATATATATATTTAGATCTACTTTCTATATTCAATGATGTGTCAAGAAGATAATTAGTTGAATTATGAACCAATCATCTTCTTGACACATTACTTAATCTAAAAAGTAGCAATACTATGTATATATATCTCATTTCTCACCTCTTCATTTTTTTTCATAATTTTTTTTCACTCCATTCACTCATCAATAAATGTCCTTCGTATAGGGTATACCTCTTTTATTAGTATCGTCTTCTTTTTACAGTGACAAATCACATGGCCTCTCCTTCTTGACAAAGAACATAACGAGAATGAGACATGTCAACTTTGCTCCTCCGTCCCAGTAGGCATTGTTTAATTCACCAGAACAAATTGAAATGAAATAATTATTTTATTTTAATAATGTCTATATTCACAATTGATTCACTAAATAAATAATAAAAAATGTGTTAAACACAGAATTATCATTCATTCAATAATTTTAAAATAAACATTTTATTTATTTCATGTTGGACAATCTTCACTGTATTTAAAAGGATTTAATTCTGTTGTGTACAAAACAACAACAAGAATAAAAGAAATAGAGAAAAGGAGAGAAAATGCTTGATTGCAAAAATCAAACTCGAAATAAAAATAAATAAATAAAAAAAACAGATTTTATTTTGTTACAAAAACAAAATTAAAATCTGAATAAATAAACAAATAAAACAACACTGAAAGTAATTAAATAACTTACTTGATTTAATTTCTTCGAATTATTTTCCCGATCAAGTCCAGTGTTTAACGCTGTGTCCTTAAGACAGATTCGTCCTCTCCACGGTGCTTTCAGAATTCGGACGTCTATCTCCCAGGATGAAATGATCTACCACAAACAATAGCAGCACTACTAATTGTTTGCCTTACGAACACACTAAGTGTTTACACTCAATGCCTATCGGCGAAACCATACATGTTGATGGGTCTAGGCTGGCACAAGGGAATGGCATGTGAGTGTTTTCAAATCCTATGTTTGAACCCATGTCTGGCACACGAGTATTCACCAATCCTATGTTCGAATTCACACCTGGGGAGTTAGAAGGAATTGCTGCGATTGGAAGAGAAATATAACTTGTTCATCTTCCTGTAGTTCCCTTCGCAGCATCTTTTGTAGTGAAACCCTTCGCAGCATCTTTTGTAGTGCAAATGTCTGCCCTAAGAAGGCAGTCATGCCCTCAACATCAACCAGCACAGCAAGGATAGCCAGTCCCAAATATGCCATTACATGCACCAAGAAGGCCTCAAGCAGATGGAGTTCCTCTAAACCCTATGTTTGCTTCTCCAATAATGGCCTAACCAGCACAAAATATGGTTCTTAGGAACCAAATTGCTGACATTATTAGAGAGATTTGTGGACCTATGGCCCGGGGAGTCCAGACTCATGTTTATAAAAAGCCTTACCTAGAATAGATAGATAGGTTACATGAATACCCAAAGGGATTTAGGATACCAAACGTTGCCCTCTTTTATGGAAATAGAAACCAGTCAACTGTTGAGCACATTGCTAGGTTTACAAGCTAATGTGGTGAATTCAGCAACAATGATCATGAAGTTAAGACTTTTTCCAAACTCTCTAACTAGAGTAGCTTTTGTATGGTATACAAACCTTACACCTGGTTCTATCCAGACTTGGCAACAAATGGAATAGGTATTTCAGGCCCAGTTTTTCCAAACAGAGTCTGAAGTATTTATGGCAAACTTGGCAAGGTTGAGCCAGAGGCCTGATGAAAAGGCTAAAAGGGCACGAAACAAATGTAGGGCCGTACTACCTGAACCTGAATTTGTAAGATTGGCCCAAATGGGCTAGAGTTTAGGCTTCGAAAGAAGTTTGACTCAACAGAGTTTCGAGACCTAGTATAACTAACTTATAAAGTTGCTAGATATGAGACTCTTCTTGAAGAAGAACAAGATCGAAGTAATGCATCTTGTAGAACCTATTATAGGGACCATAATTTTGAAATTGCTGCAGCAGAGATTATAGGACAAGAACCTATGATCTGTGAAGCATTAATTCAGAAGGATACCACTATCGATCAACAATTTAAAAAGAAAGATCTTCATAGGAAATATTATTTTGATGTATCAAAAGCAGATGACATATTTTATCATTTGTTAGTGGCATATTTTTTAAAATTGCCTAAAGGAGTCAAGATCCCAACTTCAGAAGAAATAAAAGGCAAAATATACTGTAAATGGCATAATTTTTGGTCTCATTCAACTAAAAACTGCATTGTTTTTTGAGACTGGATTCAAGAGCAGATTCAGAAAGTAAGATTGAAATTCCCAGCCAAGGTTAAAAAGGCAATGGGAATTGACATTGATCCTTTTCCAGAAATCAAAAAAGCTATAGCCAATGTTGGCACACCAGACTTCTTTGTCCAAAAGGTTGAGAAAAGCCTTTCCTTGAAAGAATTGGATAAGGTCAACGTGCAGCTGCATGTGGCTAGTCTAAATGCCTTTAAGAAGAATGAACAGTTTTCACCAGCAAGTAGGCAGAGCTTCGTAGGCCAAAAGAATGATCCCAGCGAAGAACTTATAGATGATGACTCACTTAAAACAGCTATTATGCAACGGATGTGCCCTAGGTGCAGGTCGAGTTACAAATGGCTGAAGGGGCTTTCAGTTGATAGAAATTAGTATTACAAAGATGTGCAGAGGGATCGTAGGCTAATCAGTGTCCACAATAAGAGGGCATACCCAAGGGGTCTTAATCAGTAACCACTTTTGGAGGGGCCATTAGATGCCAGGAATCTATCAAAAGGCAAGAGACCCTTATACAAAACCAGGCCACCAAATTACTACAAAATAGCTAGTAAGCCTGTAAATAAGCCTGAGCTTGGTCCAAAACAGGAAACCAAGGCCAATGAATGGCCTTCGAAGACTAAAGCAGCAGGCCCGATGGCCAACATAGTGGTTCATGGATACTAAAAGTACCAGATTGGTTTGTCATGCAAAATAAACCTAAAATAATACCAACCCAGGGGAAGGCCATCTCAAATCCTATGTTTGAACCCATGTCTGGCACACGAGTATTCACCAATCCTATGTTCGAATTCACACCTGGGGAGTTAGAAGGAATTGCTGCGATTGGAAGAGAAATATAACTTGTTCATCTTCCTGTAGTTCCCTCGGTGCAAGTTCCGTTAGTTTCCACAACTTACATTGGTTCCTCCCGACGTGTTTGAGGTGCTCCCCGGGCCGTCCCGTGGCTGTTACACGATTTTGGCCCCCGAAGGTCTATTTTCAAGCTTAAGTGTGAAAAAGTATAATTTTGGACTTCGTTTTCAAACCGGGAGTCCCGTGCTAGTTCCATAAGCTTTCACAACTCACATTGGTCCCTGCTTAATTACATGCATTGCATGGATCAAATTAATTTTCTTTTATATTTTATATTTTTGTCTTTCTTATTGACATCTTACTATTAATTTATATTTAATTCTTTATTTAACATGAAATTATTTGTTACAAAATATTTATATTTAATTTAAATTTTATATACATATATATAATATGTATGAATAATTCAAAAAGAATATTAAAAAAAAATACTTTACATAATTAATTTATATGTTTTCTTCTTAATCCAATCACAATATATTTATATTTAATCTTTTTAAAAAATTTCGCATGGTTCTATTTATACATATTTTTATTTTCTAAATAAAAATAAAAATAAATAATTAGATTCATTTTTTGTTTTATATTATTAGTTCTCTTTCCAATTTAACTATTATTTTTAATATCAAAATGAGTATTTTCTTGATTTAGGCCCGACCCATTGATGTTTTGAATCTAGGTTTCATATGTCTTGTTTAGATATTCATACCGTGTTCCTCCTTATTTCTCATTGAGTTTGAGTGTTGGAGTGTCTTGGTTGTGTTTGGAACAAGAAGAAAGCAGTCTCATTCTGATCACCATCCGTACCCAACCCACTTCTGGTAATGCCTATCTCAAATCTTTACAATACTGATACGAAAAACCCAATTTGATGATTTAGTGTACACTATCTGGGTATGTTCTTGGATTCATCAGAATTGGGTAAAGTATTCCAGTGCTTATTCATTTCTGGGATTTGTGTGGATCCTAAAAGAAAGATTTTTTAATAGGCTACAATTAAAAAGAAATAATTTGGGCGGCGTTTTGCTTAGTCAGAATTCTCACAATACCTTTTGTGTTCCTCATATATATGGCTCCTTCTTGTACAATTAGCTTAGGCGTCATTTGACGACTGCTCATTTCTTCAAGCATGATAACTGAATAAGATTTTTTTACTCTTACGATTATATAGGTAACCAATATATTATTTCTTACAACCAAACAAGCTTGATATGTCTTTCTTAGGATTTCAAACCCACCAAAAAAAAAGGAGAAGAAGAGAAGAAGCTGCGTATATTATGACTGTTTAGGTGGCTTCAAATCAAGGTTGGATCTAGGGGGTGCGGGCGGTGCGGTCGACACCCCAAAATTTTTAGAAACTATGATAATATTAACTAGCCCATTAGTAAAATAATTTCAAACTGGAGTATTTGCACCCTAAAATTTCAGTAGTTCACGCCTTCCAAATTATTTACATTACAAAATTTTAAAAATAGTTTCTACATTGAGTTTTATTAAATGTTGATCTATTCTATTTGTGTTATTTGTTATTTTTTATATCATTTAAAGTTACTTATATTCTTTCTCTCTTTTTTTTTGTGGATCAGCAACACAAGATTTATTGAATAAAAATAAAAATAAATAAATAAAAAGAAGCGAGGATAAGGCATTCTGTTTGTTTTTTTTGTTACTATTCTTGTTTTCTGCTCATATGTGGATATATGTTTTTTTTTTTTGTTCTTTTTTATAAATCACAATTTAATTTGCTTATGCATCTTTTGTATTCATTCTTTTTTTGTTCATTCTCTACAAATAGGAATATTATCTGGAAATAAAAAATATTGTCTACTTCAACATAACATTCTTAAAATAAGTATCAAAAATTTAATACCGCTTAATGAAGATTATTTATCTTACTCATAAACACATACATTTTCATATATAACTCTTTTTCAAAATTAAACTGTGTAATAAGATGGAAGATAATTTTTGTAACAAGTATACTTGATTGATCATATTTGTTGAGAAGATATTAATTAAAGTTTGATGTCGAGCCTGTCATAAATATTTTTATATATATTATAAAAAGTGGCGATTACAATATTTTCAAGTAGTTAATTTTCGTAGATGGAGACATAGTAATAATAAAAAGAAATTATGTCTAATTATATTTTTGTTCTCAAATTATGTTGAAAAAGAATGTCCAATTAATAG